AAGAAAATTTACGCAAATTCCGCGTAAAGAAATGGACAATCGTAACGGGAAAATTATGTGTTTATCTGTTATATGTCCGCGAAAGTCCATTTTGATCGCGACAAGCTCAGAATTTTTATCGTGGACCTTCACGGATATCGTTATCAATAATAATATGTATTGTGAAAAGTGCAGGACTTTCTTTGGTCGATTAAATATGTGTTTTATTGAATGTTATGGGTACGATGAATATTTGTTGCTGTAACTATTTAACGAGTAAACAATATATTTGTCTGTTTATTGGTTGTGCGAATTGTTGTATATGTTATTGTTGTATGTAAAGTTCAAGAATTTACGACAAAACCTATAGTGTACACACGTTTATGGTTAATAAATAACTGTTGTTGTGTTTGCTGTTCAAGCTCAGGTAAAGTCTGATTGATAGGAGGCGGTCTGTCATTTGCTACTGTGTAAACGTGATACATACCAGGTGAATATCGATTAGCAAATACACAAAAGTCATACGACAAGTTTAAACCAATGAACAGGCGATCCGGTCATAATAGGCTTCTGAAGGAGGAGCTAAATATATGACTAATTGTATTTGATTAGTCTATTGCTGCGCACATTCTTTAATTCTTTAATTAACAATTCTGATTCGATTCTTAAAAATTCATCAATGCTACATGTAAAAAATTATGAAATAAAAATATTTCAACTAATAGTTTTTTTATAAATATCAGAGACTACAGTAAATACCCAAGATTTTTAAAACTATACTTTTTACCCATAGATAATCATCCTTGAAATATTTACTTTTATCATTAAAAGAAATTTACTTTTATCAAACTATACTTGTCTCATTACACGGGTTTATAATGGAAAGGTTGAGAGGTGCTAGTGTGTTTTAAGTCAATTGAACATTCTTGAGAAATGAGAAAATTATAATTAATACGGCTCATTCGGATTTTCAATGTCGCGCAGAGGACTGATACCGCACTCGATTATTGATACAGACAAATGATTGAGTGTATATTTATGAGAGCACACTCACTATGAAAAAAAAACCACCAGAGGTATCTGACATCTGAAAATTTTTTGGTGAAATGTTTAACTTATATAATATCATGGCATTGTTTGATCACACCCCATCCCCCCTTTCCCCCAAAAAAATAATCCCAAACAATTTATATAGGGTCGTCGTATGTAAAGAGGAAACTTGGAACTGGTAAAAATTGAATACTAGTTTGGATAATTTAAAAAAAAATGGGTAATGATGGTTACTTTTTTTTATAGTTTTTTTTTTTTTTATTCAAAACACGATACAACAAATTGAGACTCTTTTCGAAAGATTTTGTGGTCCTGAAAATGACCGTTGTACCACTGAACTAACAGTGGATTTATCACTGGAACTGCAGACCATTCAACCGCTTGATTACATCTGGGTTAGTCTTCAGCTTATTGTTGAAATAGGCTAGCGATTAACCCTTTGACCCCTCGTGAAAAATCTTATAGGGCAGATGACCAGTTGCTGCTCCATTCATCAAAATACATACTGGTGCAACCTTGTATATATGGTCAATGTACATGTTGCATTGTTCTATGGTCTGGTCATCTTCTCACACCAGAAGGTCTGTAGAGTGTTGACTAGATCTTTTTTTGTTTTGGGGTCTACACGGGCTACGTGACGCTTCATCTGAGATCAGACCATTTCTATGGGATTTAGATCAGGACTTTCAGAAGGCCATATATTCCACCAATTGATGCCATTGTCACTCATGAATTCTTTTGCCATTTTAGACTTGTGCTTTGGGTCATTGTCTTGTTGGAATCTGTGACCATTTGGAGACTTCACCCGAACGAAAGAAAGAAGGTTGTCCCGTAAAATAGAGTTAGTGAAGAATTCTTTTTCCATTATGTCTTCAAAGATGGTAAGTTTTGACGGACCCATCCGACTTATCGCACCACAAACATGGACTTTAAGTGGATGTTTCGGCTTTCCATGAACCATTGGAGCAGAATTTTTCTCTCTATAGTAATTGGTCTTGTTTTGGAAGGTCTGTATAGAACTTTCATCGGAAAAGATTATATCGGCAAAGTCGTCGTTTTCGTCAATCGTTTTCGTCAATGAGGTGCTGGCAAAAATAAACGCGCTTTGGTCTGTTTGCTTTTCTCACCATTTGACCATACCGCTTCAAATGTACCCAGAGGTCCGTCAAGAAAACGTCTTCCGCACCAGTGTCATTAATGCTGTCAATGAGATGCTGCGTCGTCAATAAAGGTAATATGTTTGAAATTAGTAAAAACAATGCACTCTTTATTTGAGACCTAGGCGAACCTCGTTGCTTATCTTATTTGCACTCACAAAAAAGATAGCAAACTTCAGTACCATAATTGATTTTGAAATTTTAAAAATTTCCGTTAATAGACTGTCATCGCGGACTTCGCGGATCAACGGGGACATCATCTAGGTGACATGTCGCGATCATTTAATTGTGTCCATCACGGATTTCCGAGAACTTCACGGAATCGAGGAATACGCGTTTTCCTTTATAGCTGCAGTTTATGGTCAGTTTTGGTTGATGCGGTCAAATAATTTTGTTATAGGAGTCAGCCTGAGGTATCACAAATACTGAAATTTTGTTGCAAGACAATATTTTGAATAAAAAGAGGACATGCTGGCAATCTAAATTGATGCGGACAAAATTTTGTATTCACATTGTGTTCCAATATTGCTGTCATTTGTATCATACAATACATCCTCACATAAAATATTACTGAATTATGTGGCTATATAGATTTACATAATAAAGTGCAAATATGGTCAGTTTTGGTTGATACGGTCAAATAATTTTGCTATATGAGTCAGCCTGAGGTATCAAAACTACTGAAATTTTGTTACGTATTAATTTATTGAACAAAAGGAAAACATGATGGCACTCCAAATTTATGCAGACAAAATTTTGAAGTCTTTGTGTTCCAATATTGCTGTCATTTGTATTATGCAATACATCCTGACATAAAAATATTACTGAATTATTATGCGGCTATTATAGATTTACATAATAAAGTGCAAATATCGTCGATTTTGGTTGATATGGTTAAATAATTTTGCTATACGAGTCATCCTGAACTATCAAAACTACTTAAAGTTTGTTACGTATCAATCAATATATTGAACAAAAGGAGGACATGCTGGCACTCTAAACTTATGCGGACAAAATTTTGTAGTCATTGTGTAAAATATTGCTGTCATTTGTAATATACATTCAATCCTGACATAAAAAATATTGCTGATTTACTATGCGGTTATATGGATTTACATAATAAAGTGCAAATAATGTCAGTTTTTGGTTGATGCGGTCAAATAATTTTGTTATAGGAGTCAGCCTGAGGTATCAAAACAACTGAAATTTTGTTGCAAGACAATATTTTGAATAAAAAAAGGACATGCTGGCAGTCTTAATTGTTGAGGACATAGTTTTGTAGTCATTGTGTTCCAATATTTCTGTCATTTGTGTTCTACAATACATCCTGACATAAAATATTACTGAATTATTATGTGGCTATATAGATTTACATAATGAAGTGCAAATATGGTCAGTTTTGGTTGATACGGTCAAATAATTTTGCTATACGAGTCAGCCTGAGGTGTCAAAACTACTAAAATTTTGTTAGTATCAATATATTGAACAAAAGGAGGACATGTTAGCACTCTAAATTTATGCGGACAAAATTTTATAGTCATTGAGTTCCAATATTGCTGTCATTTGTATTATACATTCTATCCTGACATACAAATATTGCTGATTTACTATTCGGCTATATAGATTTACATAGTAAAGTGCAAATATGGTTTATACGATGTATTGGAATATATATTCAATGCCTGTTAGAATTGTAACCAATTTCGTTTTTTAATTTATAGAAAGGCAGATCACGGATAAATTTGCATAACAAGCAAAGTTTTATGCGTTCTTTATTTACAAATACATGTATGTAATCGTGTTTATTTAACGGAATTATCAAGCCGATCTATATTGATTAAAAAATTGTTAAAAAGTTGGACTCTTCGCATGAAGAATTAATGACTTTTTCTTCGTTATTTTTCACAAATTGATGAGGTTAATTGTCTTTAGTTTTCAGTTATCGGGACAACTGCCGTCAATACCGTTCATTGTGTAATTGTGCAGAATGGTGATCGACACCGTCTCAATTTGTAACCGATGACGTAAGCAAGATCACGTTACCGTTATTTAATTAAAAATCATTTATTATGACAAGCGCTGGATTATTTGATCTAAAAAAAGATTGATCAGTTTGACCGTCAAAATTGTACGAAATGAGTTTTAAGACTAATATTTATTGATTAAGAAAACAAAAAACGAGTCACGTCTCCTTTTTACCTCCCGCTTGTTTGACATTTGTTTATATACCCTTATTTCTTTAGCTTTCTGGTAAACAGCATCCCGCATTTATGGAAATCGTGTTAAGAAACGCGATCTTTGGACTATTGTATCATTTGACATTACAAAACAACAGAAAAGTTCCAAATGTGTTAGTTCAAATTATAAACAAAAAGATAAACATAATCTGATTACATCATATACTAAAAGTCAGTTGTGATCTGGTTATGACGTATTTCACCTGAAATGGACATTTACACATACATTTTTGTAAAATTTAGAAATAAACCATTGCCTAACACGACATAATATTTAATAAAAGTAAACAACTTAAGATATGAAAACATATTTGTCAAAATATCTTTTTTTTGCAAAACCTTGGTTCGTATATAGATATTAACGTCTACATTCCAAAAGGAGTCTATGTTGGTAGATTTACAATTTTAACAAGAAGTGTGAACCCTAACACTAAATATTTACGACACAATTTAAACATAAAATGTTAATATCTGACATACAAAAAGTAGAACAGAAATACCGAACTTCAAGGCAAATGTTTCATGATTATCTGAAGGATTATTTATAATCAAGGCCATAAAAGTAGCCGTATCTTACCTTTACCGGAAACAATTCTCCAGCCATTAATGATATAGACTTCTTTTTAATTCAAGCTTCACAGAAGGAAGTTGTGTTAAAATAGAACAACCAATAACAAAAGTTCCTTTATTGATCTCCACGTTATGCGTCCTCTTAAATATGACTGAGCTCCTGTTACGCTTTTTAGTACATTGCTTCCTTAAGTGTTTATTTTTTGCTCAGGTTTTGTTATTCTTCTGAACATCTGTTTATCTCAAATTTAAATGTTATCTTTATTTGACACGCATATTTACCTACTGAAGCGAAACCCTAACAAGCGCAATCGTGTTTAGAGGACAATAATATTGAAACTACCAGTATTGATTACGAAATATAAAACTATGTTTTGTCTTCGTTTAAACAATTGTGCATATAAACTAAGGGTTACATTTTGTGTTAATGAAACATCCGTTAATTATACGACACATTCAAAACAAGGCCCTGACCTCAACCGTAATCTTAAGCAGCGAATATATTTCATAGTTTTTTTCGTTACTTATGCTTGTAGAAAGGAGTAAATAATTCATATTCTCGAAAGCAAGCAATTAATGGATTTATTTAATATAAATTCGCACAATTAGAGGCATTAGTGGTTTATCGATGTTCAAGTTCAATAAATGAGATACAAATTAAAGTAGCTTATAACAATTCACGGAATCTTAGAACTATGAAAGAAGTGATTCTGGGTGAATTAACAGGGCAAACGTCTCAAAATCGAAAAAATAATTATGATAGGGTAAATTCTCATCAATGAATGATCGAAACATAGCAGTTTATTTCACTTTCGTCTCTTTTTACATGATTTCTTTTGTGATATTTTTTTCCAAAAGTAATTAACTGGGTTACGCATTATCCTTGACTGAATAATTTGGATTGATATACCTGTAGCATGATGACTTTTATGTCCAGATAAACAGATGTAGAAGAAGTTAACAAATATTCCGTGATACTAAATTAACAATTTTGAAAAAAAAAGAAAAGATTCCTGTTCCGTTCCTGGAATGCCTGTACCAAGTCAGGAATATGACAGTTGTTTTCCATCCATTTGATTTGTTTGAGCTTTGATTTTGCCAATTGTTAAGGGACTTTCCGTTTTGAATTTTCCTTGGAGTTCGGTATTTTTGTTGTTTTACGTTTTCTGTGTTTGCCGATTGTGATTTGGTTCACTTCCACTGGCGTATATATCAAATTTATGAACAGATGCACATAATATTAAGACATTGAAATCACGATAGATGGGATAGACTTTCAAGTCCTTAACCATACAAAGCCAAGCCCATTTAAATATATTGACAGGTTAATTATACCAACTGTGCAGCAAAAAATAAAATTAAGATGGGATTGACAATTTCACGAGGTGCAAAATCAATATGATCAGACAAAAAAAAAAAAAAAAAAAACCCGAAATAACTTTTGTTTTTAAATTTTGTTGTTTTTTTCAAGACCTGCACATTTGGTGCAGTAAAAGTGGTCAACTAATGTTATGACTACAACTGGGTCGATATCAATACTTGGTACCGGACATTCTATTTTTTGTGAATTTCAAATAAAACACACCTCAGGTATTACAAATATTAGAGATTTTGGACACAATAAATAAGAAACATTTGCAATGACCATACATCTTATTTTATGTTTTGTTTATGTAGCAGTATAGGGAAATAAATAGTTTTACAGCGCTCAACCTGAAAACTATTTTGATCAAAACTAATGAATATTTCATTAACATTTTTAGGAAAATGTTTACATCATATATGGACATAGAGTTCAATAACATCCCTATTCTTAACATGTTTTACAACATGTAATGTCCTACATTCTTAGAACGCAACATGAAATGACTTTTTCAAAAATGAAAATATAAAACGTTATAGCAAATGCCGCATGTTTCCAAAAAGAAACACACAAATGAACAACAACAACAAAGGAAGAAGGAAAATATTACTTGGGGAGCCAATTCAAAAAGTACTGCATCAGAAGTATGCATGCTATTTAGAGAATTACTACTATATTATTAGATTAGAACAGTTTTCAAAAAAGAGATATTACATACAGACTACCTATCTGGATTGATATAGGATGGACTTGAAACTGGGGGATCCATCTGTCCTTGTATAGTCACTTTTACTTGTAATCTTTTGTAGATGGGGATTTAAGTCTATAATCATTATACTAAGATCATTGATCGACTTTAGAGATAAAGGAAAACTAAATGAATGTATGAAGTCATAAAAGAGGGGCGAAAAATACCAGAGGGACATTCAAACTCATAGATCGAAAATAAACTGACAACGCCATGGCTAAAAAAGAAAAAAGACAAACAGACAAACAATATTACACAAAACACAATATAGAAAATTAAAGACTCAGCAACACGAACCCCACCAAAACTGGGGGAAGGGGGGGGGGAGATCGCAGGTGCTCCGGAAGGTTAAGCAGATCCTGCTCTACATGTGGCACCCGTCATGTTGCTCATGTTAGTACAAACCCAGTAACAAGTATAATCCGGTACGTCACGTTCGTTAAAAGGGGACGGGATTGTAGTTACGACATTAAGAACATATCCGCTATCATCTGTGAAACGGATATTCCATAACGGTCAACCAACTCGTGATGGCGTCCGTAAAATTTACGAAGGGATGATTTCAACTTCACCATTTTGAACTCTTGGTTTAATAGATTCCTTGTGAGCAGCAACCCTCTATCAAGGAAATCATGATAGGAAATACAAGCTCGGGAATATTGTATCAATTGGGAGATATATACTCCGTATGCAGGCGCTGCTGGAATATTGCTCCATGGAAATGGAAAGTTCACAATTGGGAAGCTGAAATCATCTCTTTTGTCGTAAAGTTTTGTTTTCAACCGACCCTCATTGTCAATTTCTAGATGTAAGTCAAGATATGAGGCAGAATTAACTGTATCTGTTGTAAACCTTTACTTAAAAGAGATTCTTCTGCACGTAATTCACACTAGGACATTTAGATCGATTTAAACTAGATCGGTTCACTTTAGATCGATTTAAGGGTCAATGTGAACGCGTTGAATCGATCTTCAATCGGTCTAAACTAAAACACCAAAAGAGGTGGTTTAGTTTGAATCGATCTAAAGTGAACCGATCTTATTTTAAATGTGAACGCAGAGATCGGTTTAAACTAGAACGATTGAATCGAAAAAAATGTATGCGCATGTATAGCGACACAACTATATCAATGGTTCGTTGTTTAACCAATATTTCTCTGTTAACAGACCTTTGTGTACAGGCACGTAAACACAAACTGAAAACATGTTGTTTTCGCCGTAGCATAAATTTGCGAAATATGTGTCTTCTTTTTTTAGTTGATTTTTTTTCTTTTCAGGAACCGCAGTATTTCGTCGTGTTGTAACTTCGTTGCTTCAGTTTTTTGTTTCAAAATCAAAGAAAACTGCAAAAACACCAGTATCAAAATTTGAACTTGTGATTCAAGAGAAACAACAACTTCATCCAATTTTTTTTCAAGTGTGTGTATCAGTGTATCAACACATCCATTTGATAAATTAGTTCTATTTATACACAATGTTTACAGTTTCACGGGTAATAAGGTTAGATCAATTGCATTTTTAATTGTAGTGTGAACGCACTGGTTCAGATTAGACCGATAGAGATCGTTATGATTAAAGACAATGTGAACGCTAACTGGTTTTATTTAGATCGATTTAAATTAGATCGATTAAAGAAAAATGCTAGTGTGAACGAGGTCTAAGTTCTTTAGATGACAAATTTACAACAATGTTGTAACTTCTGTCCTATCCCATCAAATGTAAATAACTTTCAGCTAGACGAGGACTTAGACCAATTCGCTAGACGTTTACGCTTAAAAGATTTTTTCTACAATAGGGACAAGAAACACCTTGAAGAAGCCGGATTAACAGATTCAGATTCTGAGGACAATGAAGAAGTCACGCCCATCCCAAAATTTAGAAAGAAAAGTTCATGGAAACCACCAAAAAGTAAAAACGAAAACTTGGAGTCATTTATAAACTACGTGAGGTCTGATATAAAGTCCTGTATAACAAATAAAAGAAATTATAATTTATTCAAGTCAAAACGGATCGCTTTGAAAGCGTTAAAAGAAGAAGAGGATATTGTAATAAAACCTGCCGACAAAGGGGGCGCTGTAGTTGTCATGAATAAAACAAATTACATAGCAGATAGGAATCGTCAACTGTCAAACTCCAATTTTTACAAGCAATTAACCACAGATCCAACACAAACTACCATTCGAAAGATCAACACCATCCTTCAAGAGATGTGCGACCAAAAGCATATCGATAATGACACCTTTGACTATCTTCGACCTCTTGAGAACGAAGCAAAGGCTGGAAGATTCTAGATGTTGCCTAAAATACACACAACTGGCAATCCAAGTCGACCTAGTGTTTCAGCGAATAGTCACCCAACTGAAAAGATATCTGAATTTGTAGACCATCACTTAAGACCTCATGTTAAAGAACTACCCTCTTACATTCAGGATACTACAGATTATTTAAAGAAAATGGAAAGCCTTAATCCTCTACTTGACAATACTATAATCGCATCCATGGACGTGTCTTCTTTATATACCAACAATCCACAAGATGGATGTGGCCACACTTTTGTTCAGTCTTAATATTTAAATACATGTTGCATTTGATGATAATACATATACATATAAAGATTGAGACTGTGTGCTTCTTACCTAGAAAAGGGCTCCATTTTTTTTATATTGGGATAAAGCTTTATAAGCTTTATGTTAAATATCAAGTAATTGTTGAGAAAAGTGCGACTAAAATTTTGTGACGCTGACATGAACGACATATAGTGATCCCTATGTAGCTTCTGGGAGAACAGTCAACATAACAACAATGTTAAGTTTCCTTCTAGAAGGTATCCATAAAAAATCCAACAACTTGAGGCATGTGATTAAGACATGTAAGATGCAGTTGGCCTATTTCTACCAGAGACAAACAAAAATATATCAAATAGCAATAAAATTTATTTTATGCCCACATGAATAAAAACAAATATATACTGATAAATGGTTAAACTGTGGTGCAGACATTGTCATTAAAATGGTTATATAATTATTCCGGCAGTTTGCTTATAATTTTACTGTCATATAATATAAGCGAAGTCTGCCATT